TGCAAGAGAAGGTATCCACACCCTTATAAGAAGTGCTTCGTTCTCCTTCCCAACCGATGTGGGACGAGTGACACACCCGCATCACGGCTGTTACAATCTAAGTCTACCACCATTGCTTCAAAACCATTTCGTGTTTCAAATACATTCTCACCACTAAGAATAACATACCAGTATCTACATATGAAAAAGAATACATTAGCATACAAGATCATATTTCCATCATAGACAAACATACATAATAAAATTATCATCATAGATAAACATACCTGTGATTTTCTCCCCATTTCGTTAACTTTTTTCTTATGGCCGGACAAACAACTGATTCCCATTCTTGTGCTTTGCTTAACATTTTGTAATGTCTCTCCATAACAAATATCCTTATCTCCTCTAACATTGTGATTATGGGTTTTCTTCTTGCATCAACAATTATTGAATTAAATGACTCGCAAATCCCATTTTCTACAGCCTCACAAGCTCTATCGGGTTGGAAAAATGCCCTACACCATGTATTAGGGTCCCTTTCATTCAAGTGATTATATGCATCAATGTTTTGTATCCTAAACTTTTCCATGTATGACATGAAATCTGCTTCAAAAGTGGATGTAGTTGCTGCCCAAAAAATGTTTCTGTACTCAACACCATTAAATCTTTTATGAAAATTAGCATATATGTGTCTTGCATATTGCCTATGCTTTGCATATGGTGCCAATTCTTTTACAGCTTCAACAATGCCCTATTGTATAAAATTGCAATTAAATCATAGTTAAAATGAGATGTATGAGGTAAGTTTGGTGCTAACACCTCACAAAGGACATAATTCGATGATGTGGGGTTTTAAAATACAAAGTACATTGCCTAAATGGAATCCGGGTAGGTAACTAGAGTGCCTAAATGGGAAAAATGTACCCAAAACTTGAACGAATGGTCTAAATGGTGATATAAAGGTTGAAACACCTTTGAATAAGTTAATATGAAGTGTTAGAAGTGATTGAAGTCAAAAAAGTCTCGAAGATTGCATTTTATGCAAGTTTTACAAAGTTCATACCTTGTGTTGATCAGACATGATGGTAAGCCCTACTCCTTCGATAACACCAATATATTCTATTAATAGTTCAATGAACCACTTCCAATTCTCTTTGTTCTCCACATCTACTACAGCCCAAGCTACATAAGCATTCAACATTGTAAGTGGTTAGAAAAATAATAACACTTGATATTAATATAACAAACATAGTTTGAATGTACATACCTATAGGGTAGATTTGATTATTTCCGTCTCGACCAATAGCCGATATTAACTCTCCTTTGCATACCCCCTTCAAAAAACAACCATCTAGTTCTATAACCTTCCTACATCCACTAATCCACCCATCTGTTAGTGCTTTGAAGCATACATAAAATCTCCTAAATTCATTGCTTCCATCTGCCATTAAATTTACGTCCATCTTAACTATAGATCCTGGATTGGCTCTTCTAATTTCATGTCCATAATCCCAAAGTTTTCCATAGTGTTCTATCAAAGAACCTTCAATTTCAAGAAGTGCCCTGGACTTGGCCCGCATACATTGGCCCTTGCTAACTTTGACCATAAACTTTTTCAAAATATCATCTTGCATATCCTTGATTTTTATGAACGGTCTTTCAATGATTTCTCTAACATAATGTTTTGCAATCCAAATTGGTGTCACTAGGGATCCAAAACTATAGTCTCTACTATATATGTGCTTACAATTAATGCTTTTAATTTGAAACGACTTTTCTTCTTGCATCCAAGATGCCCATAATCTAAAAGGACATGTGTGATCTTTTTTACCTTTTCCACATGCAACAAGTAGTCTTTCTGAATCATTTTTCACGTATTGTAGTTGGTAGCCATTTGCAACCGCGTAGTTAGTCAAACACTGCTTTAATTGACTAGGATTCTCATACCTCTCACCAAGTCTGCGCTTTATCAGCTTCCAAGGAATATTAGGATCATGTATCGGGTACTGAACACCTTTTTGTATAATATGATCTCCAACATTATCATCATCTTCATCCACATTAAACTCAACATTGTCAATCGTGTTTATAATACAAAGCTTATTTAGAAATTGATCATCAACTGTTTTATTTAAGTTGATTATATCATCCTCATCTTCAAGGTCTAGAGATAAAGAATCTGACATATGTTCACTTGAATTATCGTCTATTTCATAGCTATGATCATCACTATCATCACTATAATCATCATCGCAATCAGATATCATTCTGTAAACAAAAGTAACAATTTCATCACGATTCACGGATGAAAACATAAAAATTTAGGACGAGAGATATTAGTGGAGAAGGATGTATTGGTGAGTGCCTGTATATACTATATATAGATGTATGTGTGTGTGCGTATATATATTATTACGATGACTACAATAATATCATAGTATATTATCTTGATACAATCATAACACCAAAAGTCTCTTATTGATACAGCCTCCTAATTGGGTTGCTCTTATTGGTGAAGTTGTGCCACTTGTTGATAAGAAGGTACACTTTTAGAAGCTAAAGATAAAAGGTGTATTTGGCGTTTTACCTGTCTTATAACTTAACCAGTCTTCGCTTTGGTTCTATGAGGTTATGATCGACAACGTTTTATTAATATTGTGTAATCTAAATTATTGAGGCTCTATGAGGCTCTGCTTACTCTTTATCAGTAGGGCTGTGCAAAACCCGACCCAACCCGAATTACCCGAAAAAACCGACCGAAAAAACCCGATCCAAACCGACGTATATGAACCGAACCAACCCCAAACCCGTCCGAAAACAAAATACTTTATTTTTTCTGGAACTTTGCAGTTTAGAAGAGTCTATACAATCATATTCAAATATAGGTTCTTTGGAACTAGAAGACCATATAAGATTCCATCCTATATGTATGTATGTATATATATATATATATATACACGATCTTTCTAGGTAAAAGAACGCAGTTAATGGTACGAAGAACGCAGTTAATGTTACGTTGGGCCTTTGTATACGGGCTTGCTTGGCGCTAGTAGTAGGGCTATCTAATCGTGACTTCGTGAGACCCGTCTTGCCTCTTGCCGTCTTGCGACTATCCCCGTGCGGCCGTACCCAAACTACAAACCGTCGACCACTCACTGTCGTCCGACTCTGACAGCTGCCTCCCTGCCGACGACGATTGACTGTGTGCCCGCTGCTGCCTGCTGCCGACGATTGACTGCCTGCTGCCTATTGCCGACGAACACTGATTTTAAGTATTTTGTTATGTTTGTTGATGACTATTCTCTTAGTCTTGTATTAGGCTTTATTTGATGAAAATTGAATCTTAAGTATTTACAACTTTTTGTTCTTTCTTGCTGAAATAGACACAGTCTGGTGTGTCAGTTCACATCATGCATAGTTATAACTTCAAATAATATATATTTGAGTCTTTTCAATCTTACTTGCTTCAATACGACATTCTTCGTGAGTCACATGTGTTGATAGCCAAGCTCAAAATGGGGTTGCCAAATATAAGAATCATCACCTTCTTGACGTTGCGCGAGGACTTCTATTCCAAATGGCTATTCCAAAACCTTTTGGGCAGATGATGTCTCAACTAATATATATTTCTAATAATTCAGGTGCTCTCCATAGTACTTGACGTTGATATTCCATTTTCAATACTTTTTAATGAAACCTTTGTTTCCTGTTGAACCTAAAATCTTTGGTACCATTAAGGCTGTGCAATTTGCTTCTTCTATGCTATTCACCCGAACCCGACCAGTCCCGAATCCCGAACAGTGTACTTTGGGTTGTGTCTTTCTACCCCGAAACCCGATAGGGTTAACTGTTTTCGGGTCCGACCCGACCGATGCACAGCCCTAACAGCCTCATCAATTAGCACTACATCATTGATAAAAAAACATACGCCATGGAAGTTTGTCCATAACTAAAGTAATGAGATAAAGCCACAATAACTTTCCTGCCCTTGATGATTCTTTAAAGCATCTTTCATTTCAAGTACTTAAATTCTCGTTCAAAGCCTGTTAATGTCATAAAAAAATAACTCATCATGTGCTCAAGTAATTCCCCTCACTATCTGCACTGAACAACTTATTAAACTAATCCCTTTATCTCTCTTTGATATCCATGCATTGACCATTACTCTAGGTCCATATAGGAGTCATAGAGGTTCCGATTATGATAACAGGATCCAAGTATATCTTTTTAACTGTATGTGTTAAGAGTCCCAAGGAAGAAAATATAATCTCAAGGAAAAGCTGTGTCTAATTCAGCTGTCACTTGGCAACATGAAGCTGTGTCTAATTCAGCAATGTCTAATTCAGATAAAAAAGATAATCCCAATGTCTAATTCAACATTGAACAACAGTTTCTCAGACCTTATCATGGAAGGAGAAGAAACCAAAGAAGAAGAAAAAAAAGAAATCTGGAGCAAACCTGATTAGCGAGTGACAGGGGCGGCAACGAGCAGAGGTGGTGCGGCGGCGATGGGGCGAGGGAGACGACGGTGTGCGAGAGGGAGAAGGAGACGGGAGGGGAGGGAGTGATGGAGATGACGGTGTGCGAGAGGGAGAAGGAGACGGGAGGGGAGGAGCGATGGAGGGAGATGAGGAGTTTTTAGGATTTTTTAAGTTTTTTTTTTTTAATTTAAGTTACCTACTATTCATGTTACAGGTTACGATTCTAAGGAATAAGGACTTATTTAATAGGGTTTGAAAAGTCCAAGGACTTATTGAATAGATTTTAGAATGTCCAATGATTTATTTGTCCCAAAAAATTATCCAAAAACTTAATTGTTCCAAAGAGTAAAGTCCATTGAGTTTTTTTAAACTTTTCCCGACATTTTATTTGAAAATAAATAAAAATTGGTTTAGAAGGAGAGTCCTAGTCATGGGGGTGATAAAAACGACAACATTTTGAAGCTTTTTGGCAAGTAAATCCAAATAAAGTGGCATCAGATACGCACTAGTACTAATAATAATAATAATTATTATTATTATTATTATGTCGTATGAGAGAGACCCTGGCCTGGTCCACGTCTCCTGTGCTGTGGGTGGTTTCATCACCTACCTTCTTTTTTCTACTTGTTAAATAAATAATTCCTCATTATTATTTTTATTTAAGATCTTAATAATAACCACATCTTCACCATAATCCTTTTCGACTTATAGCCTTCAATTTTGGACTTCATTCCCATTTCTACCTATTAATTTTTCTCGTCAACATAAATACAATATATAATTTAACTTGATTTTGATATTAAAAAAAAAAATACATATATGTATGTTAAAAACACATCTTTTATGTAAGAAAAACACTACTACTACTACTACTACTATTACTATATGAAAATCAAAACGATTAGTTTTACAGGGAAAAGGAATTACAAGAATGCTGTTGGATTATTATTATTAGTAAATGTATGAAAACCATTAAGTGATAGAAGAGGCAATTCAAAAGTTATGAAAACTTTAATGCTTGCTGATAAAAGAAACCAAAAAGGTATGTGGTCCAGACTCTCTAAATTATGAAAGCGATTTTTATAAAATTATCAACTTTGTTGTAACGCCCCCAGAACCCCGTAGCAAGATATTGTCCGCTTTGACTAACCCGCCCGCTATACCACAAAGCGCGTGAGGCATTGTGGTATAGCGTGCCAAAGCGGACAATATCATTCGCTTCCGTGCTGCGGACTCTGATATGCGATGACCGGTTTCCCTTGTGGTATAGCGGGGAAAACAAAACCGTGCGACTACTGCTTTGTGGTTGAGCGGGCAGGTTAGTCAAAGCGGACAATATCATTGCTACGGGGTTCTGGGGGCGTTACAAGGGTAGCAAGATATTGTCCGCTTTGACTAACCCGCCC